CCCCACACAGCGCCCCCTGCCCCACACAGCGCCCCCTAACCTCACCCATCACCCCCTTCCCCACACAGCGCCCCCTGCCCCACACAGCACCCCCTGCCCCACACAGCGCCCCCTGCCTGCAGAGCAATCACCCCCTGCCCCCTCTTGTCTCCAGCAGATAATCAGCACCATGGAGACCCAGGTGTCCAACGGCCCCACCAGTAACAGCGGCCTCCCCAACGGGCCGCCCCTGAGCGCCAACGGGGCGGCCGACGACAGCAAAACCAACCTCATCGTCAACTACCTGCCCCAGAACATGACGCAGGAGGAATTCAAGAGCCTCTTCGGCAGCATCGGGGAGATCGAGTCCTGCAAGCTGGTCCGGGACAAGATCACAGGTACGGGGGCTGCGGGTCGGGAGTGAGGGGCACCGGCAGAGCTGGGGGGGGGCAGGGGGGGTAGCAGGGGGCTGCGGGTCGGGAGTGAGGGGCACCTGCAGGGCTGTGCGGGTGGGGGGAGGGGGCTCAGTGCCCCCCACTCACGTCTCTCCCCGCCCCCAGGGCAGAGTTTAGGTTACGGGTTCGTGAATTACGTGGACCCGAATGACGCGGACAAAGCGATTAACACCCTGAACGGGCTGAAACTGCAGATGAAAACCATCAAGGTGAGCGGGGGGCAGGGCCTGGGGAGGAGGCGGCAGGTGGGGGCTGGGGATGAGGCTGGGAGGGACGAGGGGATAAGGCTTGGGGTGGGGGCTGGGGATGAGGCTGGGGGGGCTGGGGATGAGGTGAGGGGGGAGAAGGGGATGAGGGGACGGAGCCGGTTGTATTCAAGGACAGGGAGGGGTTGGGGGGTAGCCGGGTAACCCCCCCCAGCCACAGACAGACCCATGGAGTGGGGCGGGGGGAGGAAGCACCACAGATCCTGCCCCTGTCCCCAGCTCGGAGAGGGGCCTAGTGGTTAGAGCAGGGGGGCTGGGAGCCAGGACTCCCGGGAGGGGAGGGGCGAAGCGCGAGGAGGTGGCGGGGGAGGGGTTGGCCCCTCCTGTCTCCCTGGAGCCCCCGTCTGACCCCTCCCCGCCCCCCAAGGTCCCCTACGCCCGGCCCAGCTCGGCCTCCATCCGCGACGCCAACCTGTACGTGAGCGGCCTGCCCAAGAGCATGAGCCAGAAGGAGATGGAGCAGCTCTTCTCGCAGTACGGCCGCATCATCACCTCCCGCATCCTGGTGGACCAGGTCACAGGTGGGGGCTGGGAGCCCCCTGCTCCGGGGAGGGGGGGCTGGGAGCCCGGACTCCGGGGTTCTCTCCACGGGGCTGGATCAATGGGGCCTGGCGACTTCAGTGGCATCCAGCTCCAGCCCCGCCCAGGCCCCCTGGATCAGACCCATGGGCCCATTCGGGCCTAAGGGAGCGCGAGGCCTGGAGACCGACGGGCCGGTGGGGGGGGGGGGGGGGGCGGGCCGGGGGGGGCCGCGGCTCTTGGTTGGCCCAAGGGGGGGAGGGGGGCGATCCTCGTCTTGATGGGCCCAGGCTGCTGTGAAAAGCACCCATGAGTGCTCAGAGCCCCCTGCCCTGTGGTGCCCCCCCACTGACCCTCTGCCCCACTCCCTGCCCCATGGTGCCACCCACTGCCCTCCTGCCCCACGGCACCCCTACTGACCCCCTGCTCCGCTCTCTGCCCCACGATGCCCCCTGCCAAGCCCCACCCCGGCCTCCTGCCCCATGGCACCCCCTAATGACTCCCCTGGCCCCTTGCCCCACGGCGACCCTTCCAAGCCCCACCCAGGCCCCCTGCCCCACAGGGCCTGCTCTTAACCCCACAGCTCCCTGCCCCACAGCGCCCCTCGGTGCCGCGCTGAGGCCGGCCCAGCCCCCCTGACCCGGCTGCGCTCCCCCCCCAGGCGTCTCCAGAGGGGTGGGCTTCATCCGCTTTGACAAGAGGATAGAGGCGGAGGAGGCCATCAAGGGGCTGAACGGGCAGAAGCCGCTGGGCGCCAGCGAGCCCATCACCGTCAAGTTCGCCAACAACCCCAGCCAGAAGACGGGCCAGGCGCTGCTCAGCCACCTGTACCAGACCACGGCGCGGCGCTACACGGGGCCGCTGCACCACCAGACCCAGCGCTTCAGGTGAGCCCCCCGGCCGCACGCCCTTCTGCCTGGGAGCCCCGCCCCCTCACGGGTCACCCCTCCCCTTTGGGCCTTGGCCCCGCCCTTCTCCTGCTAGCACCTCCCCCTTTGCCAGAAGCCCCGCCTCCTTTTCCTGGCCCCGCCCATTTTTTCTATTAAGCTTCCCTATTTGCCACGGTGCCTTCTCTTTTGGCAGTGGCCCCTCCCTTCTACTATTAGCACCGCCCCTTTCACCAGTAGCTCCTTCTCCTTTGCCCTGGCCCCACCCCTTTCACTATTAGCTCCCTCCCCATGACCCCGCCCCTTTTTGCCCCACGCCCCTCGTCCTTTACTATTAGCCCCTTTCCCAGGCCCTCTTATTAACTCCTCCCATTTCACTAGTAACCCCTCCCCCTTTGCTCCTGACTCCTCCCCTTGTTCTATTAACATTTCCCCTTTTGTCCCCTTTTACCATTGGCCCCACCCCTTACACTAGTAGCCCCACCTCCCTCGTTCCTGCCCCACCCCTTTGCCAATAGCCCCACCCATCTCCTATGCATAGCACCGTTAGTCCTGGTTGCCCAGTGACGAACTCGGGGTCTGTGAAATGGCCCCCTGGGTACCTCTCCCCCGGGCACCCCCTTCCCTCTGTCTCTGCTGGGGCTGGGGGACTCCCCATCACCTCTCGCTCTCTGCCCCCTGCTGTCACCCCCGCCCCCACCTGGGGCTGGCTCCATCGCAGAGGTGTGAACCGTCCGGGACGCCTGGGGCCTAGTCCGCACAGCGCTAAGCAGGGTCAGGCCGTGGCTAGGACTTGGATGGGAGACCCCCAAAATCCCGTCCTGCCCCCCAAACTCCTGCCAGGGCCGGGCTCCTCCCTCATGGCCTGGCTCCATCTGTTGTGCGGCATTGGCTGGAAAACCTGCCCCCACCCCAGAGGTGGCTGCATCCAGCAATGGGACTGGATCCCCAGGTGTCAAAGCAGTGATGGCCGTTCACGCCGGCCGGGGGGGTCTGGCTTTGGGGGGCAGGAAGGAAGGGGGCAGCTGGAATGCTGTTGGCCGTATCTGCCCCTCTGGAAGGCAGGTAACCGGTGGCATCTTGGGCAGGGCACCCTGGGTAGGGACTTGAGGGATCCCTGTAGAAACAATCCCCTGCCCCACCCCAGAGGTGGCTGCATCTCAGCCTGGGCATCATGGCTAGATGGGCAGTGGGTGGCCGGGGGGGGGGGATGGGACCATTCTTGGGAAGCCGGCGATTCAGGGACCTCAACTTTCTCAACCACAAGAAGAGGGAGTGGGGGGAGGGGGCATACTGGGTGCATGGGGTGGGTCATACCGGTGGCTGGGTTACATGGCAGCCATAATTTCCCCCCCCACTCTCACTAGATCCCCCCCCCCCCGTTTTTACGTGCTCACACATCAGGGGCTTCGTTACTGCGGCCTGTGAACGAGGGGCTCTGGGTCTGAGCCCCCCCCCCCACAGCGGGATTTGCCCCCCCCCCTCAAACAGCCAGTCCTGTACCCCCAGACAGGGGCCCATCCCCCTCAGCGCCCCGTTTTCTCCGGCTAGGGCCAGTTCTGGCACCGAGCTCGCTCTCCTTGTCTAGTTAACCCTCCAGCTTTAAAATTACCCCCCCCAACCATTAAAAAAACCCACCCCCCCCCCCAAAGCCAGGACTGTGGCGTGTACACAGCCCTGCGGGCAGAGCCTCCGCACATGCGTGACCCGTGTCCCCGCCCTGCGTGCACCACATGTGGCCAAGCCGCTCGGACACGTTTGTGTCCACGGGGGTTGCTGGCCTGAGTGTGAGAAAAAATTACACGCAACATGCGTCTGCATCCAGCAGTGTCTGTGTACATCATGCCTGCGTCACACATGCAGCAGGGTGCGTGGGCTATTCCACACGCTGCAATGCCACGTGTCGCACACATGACATGCATGTTGGATGTGTCTCTTCTGAGCAGCCACATGTAGCGTGCCGTGTGATTCAATGCCTCCTACACGGCTCCTGAGCCTGCATGTGTGAACTGCCACACACACACACACACATGGCCAGGCAACACTCATGTGCGTGAAGCACACACACCTTCATGGATGCAGCATGTGCTACATGGAACATTCATGCAACATGCTGCCAGGCACATGTGTAACACATGCAACAGAGCCACTGTGCATGCGTGTGCATTTACCCATGCCACACAGCCCTCGTGCATGCGTGTGCACTCTGACCTGCAAAGCATCTGCCACGCCCAGGTGCCCTGTACACCCAGGTGCACTGACACATGTGATGCAGCCCCCGTGCAAACATGTGCCGTGCAGCCATCATGCAGCCGGGTGCACTCACATGTGCACTGGAGCCGGTGTCGCACCCCCACGTCTCCACGCGGCGCCCCCTGCCCTTTCCTGCCCCATAACCGAGCCACATGACCACGCAGGGCCCCCCTCCCCGCTTTACAGGGTCGGCTACTAACCGGGGCCTCTCCTCTCCTCTCCCTCTTCCTCCCACAGGCTGGACAATTTGCTAAACATGGCCTACGGCGTTAAGAGGTAACAAGCCCCCCCCCCAGCCTGCCGCTGCCCCCCAGCCCCAGCTGCCAGCACTGGGAATTAACTAGCCCCCCCCCACTTCCCATCCCCTCCCCAAGCCCCCCTGCCAAGCCCAGCCTGACAGCAGAGACACCCTCCCCCTCCCCCTGGGATCCTGCCACCAACCAGATCCCTTCCCTGCGTGACTGGGGGGGGGGGGGACATTGGGGGCGGGGGGTCCTGGCCAGCCAGGTTCCTGGTTCCATTTCGGGCCTGCTATTGGAAAGGAAAGACCTTCTTTTGGGGTCGATTCTGCGGCGTCTTCTTTTAAATCATAATCCCAACCCCCGCCCCCCCAGCATGGGAATAGCGGGCCAGTGCAGAATGCCCAGGCCGCCCCTTCCCCCCCCCCGGGGGTGTCAGGGCCTTGGGAGTCAGGTGGAGGGGGGGCACATGGGACGCTTCACTCGATTATTCCCTCCCTTGGGTTGGGGTTCAACGCTCTTCAGAGCCTGGCCGGCGTGGGGGTGGTGGTGGTGGTGGTGGGGGGACGTGCGCAGATCCCCCAGCAGCAAACACCCCTGCTTTTGTTATTGGGCTTAGAGACCCCGACCCAGATCCAGGCCCCCCAGACCCCAAACAAGATCCGGGCCCCTGTTGTGCCGGGCGCTGCCCAGACCCGGGGACAGACAGTCCCTGCCTCAAAGCCTTTACAAGCGAAATAGATCCAGGAAGGGTCATTATCCCCATGGCTCACATGGGGAAACTGAGGCCCAGAGAGGGCTACTGGCTTGGCCAGGGTCACCCAGGGAGTCTGGGGCAGAGGGGGGAGATGAACCCGATTCAGGATAAGGGCAGCGCAGGCCAGAGCCGCCCATGCCCTGGTCTGGCCACGCCCCCCGAATGGAATTGCTGTGGGGGAGGGGCGGAGGGCGAGAGCGGGTTCGAATCCAGGTCCCAGGCTCTGTTGTCCTGGGGAGGAGCCTCCCTCGAAGCCCTGCCCCCCGGAGCTGATCTTGGCGGCTGGCTAGAACGTGGGGCCTCCTGCACCCAGGCCTGAGGTGGTGGCCAAGGATAGACCCTGCTCCCCCGCGCTCAGGTCGGGTGGGTGGGTCCCCATGCCCAGGGCGTTTCCCTGATCCCCATGCCCAAGGCAGGTGGGTGGGTGAGTCCCCGATCCCCGTGCCCAAGGCATTTCCCCACTTCCCGTGCCCGGGGTGGGTGGGTTGGTCCCTGCTCCCCCGTGCCCAGGGCGATTCCCCGCTCGCCGTGCCCAGGGCGGGTGGGTTGGTCCCCGTGCCCAGGGCGATTCCCCGCTCCCCGTGCCCAGGGCAGGTGGGTTGGTCCCCGCTCCCCAAGCCCAGGGCGGGTGGGTGCTGTGCTCCCGCCGCGCTGATGCCCGCGTTACACCCAAGGTAGTCCTCTGTCCTTAATCTCCAGGTTCTCGCCCATCACCATCGACAGCATGACCAGCCTGGCGGGCGTCAACCTGACGGGCGCCTCCAGCGGCGGCTGGTGCATCTTCGTCTACAACCTGTCGCCGGAGGCGGACGAAAGCGTCCTGTGGCAGCTCTTCGGGCCCTTCGGCGCCGTCACCAACGTCAAGGTGATCCGCGACTTCGCCACCAACAAGTGCAAGGGCTTCGGCTTCGTCACCATGACCAACTACGAGGAGGCGGCCATGGCCATCGCCAGCCTCAACGGGTACCGGCTGGGCGACCGCATCCTGCAGGTCTCCTTCAAGACCAGCAAGCAGCACAAGGCCTGAGCCGGGGCCCGAGCCGAGGGCCGGAGAGAGGAGCCGTGGCAGAGACTGGGCAGCCCCCCCCCCCCCCCCCCCCCCCGGGGGGAAAGGGGGCCACCCCCCCCCCCAGAACCTCCCGCCCCGTGGCAGGCACCGTCCCCCCCAGCCCCATGGCGAGCGACCCCCAGATGGCGCGCGATGCCCCCCGTGGGGGAGCGGAAGGAAACGAACGCCTCGCAGCCTTGGTGAGGAGGAATACGCTGCTGCGGGAGCCGTGACCAGACAGCGAGGGGGTGCTGGGGTCCCACCCCGCCCGCAGGCGAGGCAAACGTAAGCCTGACCCCCCCACAACTGTGCCCCACGGCGTCGCGAGGACCCCAGCGGGGCAGGAGAGGGGACCCCCCATTATGGGTTGAATTCCAATGTCCCCTCTGTTTTGGGGGTGCCCCCGGCCCTCCCTCCACATCCTGGCCCCCCTGACAGCCATCCTGAGGTTCCCCCCAACATTGTCTCTCATCTCTCCCCCTGGGATTCCCCCCAACCCAACTTTGCGGGGGGGGGGATTCCCGGCGGGGCCCTCAGCTGTGATCAGCGAGCGCCTCTGGGCTGGGGGGGCAGATGGGTGAGATGTTATCGGGGGCAGGGGCTGCTATTCCCAATCAGTGCTGATTGGGGGGCGGGGTGGGGAGGGGATGGGCTGCTGCTGTTGAGTTGCTGGGGGGAAAATGCTCCCCTGAGCCCCCACCCCCTGAGCCCGACTGTACTGAGCCAACCTGGGCCCCAAGCCCCCCGGCTGTGGGGCTGCCCTGGAGGCAACGGGGGACTGGGGCTCTGAAACTAACCAGGCTCCATCCAGGAGCACGGGGGGGGGCCAGAGGGACGTGACGGCACTGGCTGGAGGCACCCCAAGATCTGCCCCCCCCCTTCGCCATCAGAACAGGGGGTCCCAGCCTGGCTGTCGGGGAAGGGCCGTGGGGCACGTTCTCACTATGTCGCCGTGGTGCTGTCAGCCATTGCAAAGCCGACTCCTGGTTTCACCCGGCCGGGGCGGCTCAGGGGCGGACTCGGGGATCGGCGCTGGGGACTGTGTCGGGGAGCCTTGGCTCGAATGACTCCAGCTGGGGCTTGGTCCTGACGACAGCCCCGATCCTGGCAAGGCTGGTGTGTGTGTGTGTGGGGGGTGACTGTGTCTTTAAAATCCAGGCATGCGTCTCTTCCAGCCCCACAGGGCCAGATCGTCCAAAGGATCCAGTGGGGGCTTAGCACCAAAAGCAGGGCGTTAGTATAAACCCCGCCCACTTGGTGTGAATGCCACACCCATTCTGTGAAGGCCACACCCACTTGATGGGTAGGCCACGCCCACTCAGTGTGGCGCTCTGTCTCCCTCTAGTGGTGGCTGGATCACACACAGAGGTGGAGGAGCCCACGCCGACTTGGCTAACAGAGCTGGGGGGCGGGGGGGGGGTAGCAGCCCACCATGTTTACAAAGGGAGGACCCGGGGTCGGGGCCCCCAGCTGTTCCCCCCCCCCCCCCACTCCATGGGCCCGAAAACCCACTTGGCTCTGACAGCGTCCGTGCGTCCTCCTTTTGCTCCTGGCGCCGTTCACCGCGCTGCATGCTCGTTCCCTGGGGGCTGGCGTTTCCAGGGGCCATGGGGAGAAGCCCACCCATGGGTGGCTCATGCCTGCGTCGGCTGCTGGAAATTCCCGCAGTCCGGGAGGAGCGACTGGGCTGTCGTATCAGCTCCTCGGGTTAGGGGGTCGCGACTCGCTGCAGAGCGGCGCCTGGCGGGGGATGTCAGTGGGAGTTCGGTCCGTAGCTTCAGTGCCTTTGAGGATCTGGGATTAGGCGCTTCCCTTTAGGTGCCTAACCCCCTTTGACACCCTTGGCGGCGCTGAGCCGTAGCGGCCTGCGTCTCATTGAAATGTCGGCTGCTGAATTGGTTTAGAAATTGGATCCCTCCTTGTTCCCTGCACCCCCTAAAGAGCCCTGATCCCCATGCAGCATTAACCCTTTCCCTGCTGCAGCCCCACCCCGCCACGCAGTCTTCAGAGTGTGCTGCTTTCTTTCCAAAACTGCCCCGAGCAAAAGGGGGAAGGGGGGGGCGAGGCACAAAGGGATGTTTAAATAAATGGATTGAACCCATTTGAAAAGCAAGAGAAAGTTACCCGCCACCCAACCTCCCCTCCCAGCCCCGTGTTAATTTATTTCCTAGAGAACGGTTGTTTTTTTTGTTGCCAAAAAGGGGTGGGGTGAGGGGGAAAGGGGCAGGGCTTCCTCTCTCAGCTCGTGAACGAACAAATGAAATAAAATAAATAATAAATAATAATAATAATAATAGAAAAGGCTGAAAACAGAAATAATAAAAAACCAACAAAAAAATGGGAAAAAAATCTATTTTTATAAAAAAGGGAAAAAAACCAACCTCGCTGGGAATTTTTACTGGGATTCTTGAACTTCACACACACACACACACACGCACACACACACACACACACACACAGAGCAAATAAAAATAAGAGAAAATCTTTTTTGTTTTTAACAAAGAGGTTCTGTGATTGCCCAGCTCAGGGCCGACAAATGGAAATGGTTGTTTTCTTTCTTTGGGTTTCTTTTCAGAAGGGGGGGGGCCGTGAGCACTCACGATTGTTACCGAGGATATTTTTTTATTTAACATTTTACGACAAAAAAAAAAAAACAAAAAACCAAAAAAAAACAAAAAAACAAAACAACAACAAAAATAAAACCTAGCAGAGAAAAGCAAGGAACAAAAATTAAAAGAGGATTTAAAAAACGCCCCAAACTAACCAGAAACACAACTGATTTTATCCAGGGAAACATGCTTCATACTGACATTACTTACGTTTACACCCAATTCCATATTTTTGAAAAAGAGCTGTGATTTCCTCCTTCCCCTTGTTTTTGGGGTGAAAAACTTTGGCAGCGTGTGAACATTTCTTATTGATTTATTGTCCATATCATAGTCATGCCTGGGAGCTCCAGGCTTGGATCAATCTCGTTGCACAAGGCACGACACAAAGAATAAACCAGTCGATGGAAGTGGCACAAAAGCATTTCTGCTGATCCAAGGGGAGGGTGGATAAAACAACCCCCGACCCTGAACAGAAATACAGGAGTGAGTCACTTATTGTCTCAGAAAAGCATTTGACTGGGTCGAGAGGAGGATCAGTTTCGGGGCATCTCACGTGCCCATTGGTTCACAGGCCTTGATAGATTCATAAAGTTTCAGAGACCATTGGATTGTCTAGTCCAGCGGTTCTCAAACTGTGGGTTGGGACCCAAAAGTGGGTCGCAGACCCATTTTCATGGGGTCGCCAGGGCTGGCTTAGACTTGCTGGGGCCCAGGGCCAAAGCCCGAGCCCCACCACCCGAGGCCGAGCCGGAGGGTTTCAGCCCTGCATGTTGGGACTCAGGTTACAGGCTCCCCACCTGGGACTTCACCTTTGTCCTGCTCTCCCTTCCCTCCCACACCCGGGTCCGTGGGGCTCGGGCGGGCTCAGGCCTCGGTCCCCCTTCCTCGGGTTGTGTAGTCATTTTTATTGTCAGAAGGGGGTTGTGGTGCAGTGAAGTTTAAGACCCCTGCTCTAGTCCCACGGGCTGTATCGACCAGGCCAGAGAATTCCAGCTGGCGGTTCGCCGAGCCAACCCATATCTTGTGGTTGAGCTAGAGCGGCGCATTTAGAAGAACAACTCCCCCATCTGGATGTAAACTCTCCACGCTGCTGCACAGCCTGTCTTGCTCCACGGGAGGCTGCTCCAGGGGGTCACCCCTCTCGCTGGGCAAACTCGCTCTTTTCACTCTGCAGTTGTCTGGCTTGGAAGCTGGGTCTCCCTTTGCCCTGTGGCATCAGCCCTCGTTCCCCAGCATCGGGGACTGACCGGCGGTGGTCAAAGTGCTGCCTAAGCTTCTCGTCCATCAGCAACATTGATTTGAGCTTTCCCATGTCCTAGCCTAAAGGCAAGCGTCCAGAGCCCAAAACTGCTCTCAGAGCCCTTCTGGGAACCTGCCCCAGTTTTTCCAACAGAGGAATGCCAAAGCCATCATGGTGGCAAGCTGCAGGTTCTACCACAGTGCCCCAGCATGAGATGCCAGGCTCCAGCTACAAGACAGGACCTCACCCACCTTGTCTCTCTAATACCATGAGGACAGCACGGTAGCACCGTGCCCGTAGCCTGGCCTACCATGATGCCCTGGCTGTGAGCTTGCCTGGAAACACAATACCCATAGCCTCCTCCTTCATGACTCATGTCTCCTCCCCTGAAACGTTGACCTCAGCGGTGCCTCATCAAGAGAAACCGAGCCCCGTGTACCCCCACCACAACACCCACGGCCATGCTACGAAACTGATCCACCCAGGAGACCCACATCTTTGCACCAGCCCTCCCCCGATGGGGAGATGCTACTTTATTTCAAGCCATAGGATAATCATGGGGGATTTTTTGTTTAAGACGTCACTGTCCGGCCACCTGTAGCCACCCTGGTCAATTACCCCGATTCCCAGCCTTACAGCCGGGGGTAGGACTTAAAACTGGCCAGTGTCGGCTCTCTGCTCTCAGGAAGGTCTCCGGAGCTTTGCCGAACGCCGCATGAAACATTTTGGCCAAAAAAATTCCTGGGGAAATCAGATTTTTGAAAAATCAGATTTTTTTCCCCCAAACGTCCAGCTCTTGCATTGGAAAACTGAAAATGTTAGGCCAAAAACTGGAGTTTTAAGATTTTCAGCTAAAAATGTTGTTTTTTTGGCCAATATTTGGCTAACAAATTTCTAGTCACTGGCTGAATTTTGTTGCTGTTTTAGTTTTCTGCAGGAAATTTTCTAGGTTTTGGGCCAGATGTTTCCAGTTTTTGGCCAAAAATTTACCAGGGTTAGGGAGATCTGGGCCAAAATATTTTGGAAAATTTGGGTCATTTTTTCCCTTTTTCATCAGTTTTTCCCCCTAGTTTTCAGCAATTTTCAGCCAAAGTTTTTTCAGTTTTTGCCCTTTTTATTTTTTTTTAATT